CTGACGCCCAGTTCTCACCCTCAAAGTCTACAGCGTCCCGGCACCGACGCCCAGTTCTCACCCTCAGGGTCTACATCATCCCAGCCCCGACGCCCAGTTCTCACCCTCAAAGTCTACAGCGTCCCGGCACCGACGCCCAGTTCTCACCCTCAGGGTCTGCACGCACACCCCAACATGCACGCACACACATGCACACCCCCATGTACACACATGCACACACCCAAGGATGCATGCACACCCCCCCACACGCACGCACACACATCCACACACACATGTGCCCACGCAGCAGGGCTCCAACCTTATAATTTACTGACTTATTTTGTTCCCTGCCCATCTCCCTGTGTCAGCCATGTGCCTGGCAATATTAAAATTCAGGAGAAGGACTGGATGATCAAGTTGAGAAAATCTTCCCAAACACTAGAAAAAGACAGGACATGTGAGCGAAAAGTTCCAACATCTCATTAATAGGTTTTGTAGAAAGAAGAGAGAAACGTGAGAGAAGGAGCTTTGAATTATACCTTAATTTTATGTCCTCAGCGGGACAACGAGCACACAGACCTTGTATCATTCTCCGTCATTCTCCAGGCCCACGGCAGGCCTTCACCTCGGAAGCTGAAACAATCCCTCACCAGCACTGCCCGCCAGAATGAAGGGCCACAGAGCGCCACACACCGCCACCCCCGACTGTGGGGTCTCAGAGCACAGAGGGGCCCTACAGCTCCCTGGGGCAGAAGCCCCACAAAGGACTGGGGTTCCGTGTCCGGCTTCACAATGGCAACACTGAATTCTACAAGTCGAAGACACCATCCCTCACCTGTAATCCCAGCACTTTGGAGGGCCGAGATGGGCAGATCACAAGGTCAGGAGTTCAAGATCAGTGTGACCAACATAGTGAAACCCTGTCTCTACTAAAAATACAAAAAGTAGCCAGGCATGGTGGCAGGCGCCTGTAATCCCATGGCAGCAGGGCCACATCGGCATCCTCATGAGGGGACAGTGCGTCCAGGGCTGTCACTCAGGAGGGAAAGGCCGTCCAGTCAACGCCAGAGGCACCCCTGCCTTCACCAACGGGCTCTGCAAAACCTGTTTTCATTTATTTTCACAAAAATGACCACACTGCTGAAACTGGCCCCACAGATGCCCCCAACCCAACACCCGCTGTTCACAACACTGTGAGCTACACCACAGCTACGATCCCAGACACATTCCCATCATCCGGACAGTCCCTTCCTGTGTAATGCAACCCTCATGCCCCCACTGCCAAGGGAGGGAGCTGGGCTGGGGTCCCTTCCATGCCCGCGGCAGCACACGGACAAGGCCCAGCCAGGCCACTGGACGCCTCGAGCTCTGTGTCTCCACACTTGGTCCACTGCGGTCTTTCCACGGCCGGCCTGACCCCAAACGCCCCGTCTGCACCGCCCTGCGCCTCCAGCTCTGCTGCAGCCCTCGGCACCTGCCAAACTCACACAGCGTCCCTTCTCCACCTCCCTATGGCATGAACGCCTTGCTCCTGTTCCCTGACAGGACCCCACGTCGCACCTGCACCACAGACACACACGGCTCCCTCGCCAACCCGTGCTGAGGACAGGGGTCCACACGCACATCACCCATCCACGTGGGGT